GGGGGACTGAGGGAACCTGAGGGGACCTGAGGGGGTCTGAGGGGCTCTAAGGGGGTCTGAGGGGACCTGAGGGGGTCTGAGGGGGACTGAGGGGACCTGAGGGGACCTGAGGGGGTCTGAGGGGCTCCAAGGGGGTCTGAGGAGCTCCAAGGGGGACTGAGGGAACCTGAGGGGACCTGAGGGGGTCTGAGAGGGCCTGACGGGGTCTGAGGGGACCTGACGGGGTCTGAGGGGGTCTGAGGGGTTCTGGAGGCTACGAGGAGGACGAGAAGTCTGGGTGGGGCGTGGGGTACAGGCAGGGGACTCAGGGGGATGGGTTAGGGGCAGCCGTGGGGTGCGGGAGGTCTGGGGGGGGATCAGGGGGTCTGAGAGGATTCGGGAGGGGACACGGGGGTGTCCCGGCTGTGGCACAGGGTGAGCTGCGGCGGCTGGGCTGAGGGAGGCAGTGGCCCTGGCACTTCGGGGTACCGGGGCACTTCGGGGTGCCAGGGGTTCAGGCAGGTTTGGGGTGCTGGGGTGTTGCTGGGGAACCAGCATGATGACAGTTTGGGGTGTCCGGTGCTGGGGTGCTGGCAGGGTTGAAGTGCTGGCAGTTCGGCGTGTTGGGGTGCTGGCACTTTGGGGTGCCGAGGTGCTGACACTTTGGGGTGCCAGCGGAGCAGCCCACACGGCCCCACCCGGCGCAGCCGGGGCCGTGCTGATGGTTTGGCTCGGGGGAAGCAGCGGCCGCGCTAATGCGGAGCCGAGCCCAATTCCCCACTGCTCCTCACGGACTGTTCAACATCCCCGGAGCCCAGACCGGACGGCGGGGAAGGCTGGTACATGCCAGGGAGTGGGAGCGGGCAGAGGAGGACGGCGGTACCCCGAGCAGGGTCTGGCACCCACCACCCCAGCACGGAGCTCCTGGCACACAGCACGCAGCCACCCTTGCTCCGCACGGGCTGCCACGGCCAGGGACAATGCGGTTTTGAGGCTCCTGGATACATCTCGGTCATGTTCCTGGTCGTGATCCTGGCCCCGGTCCCGGTCCCGGTCCCGGTCCCGGATACGGGTCACAGCACTTACTCCCCTCAGCTCCCTCAATGTGCCCAGCCCAGTCAGTCCCGCTGTTCCCCTTGCCCGACCGGTGTGTCTAAGGCTGGCCCCGTGCGGCACCGGCGGAGCTCCGGTGACGCCGGTGCCAGCCCCTCGTCCCGGGCCGCGCACGGTGTGTGGCCGGGCCACGGGACCCCACCGGGAGCAGCACGGGCCCCTCCCGGTGCTGGGGCGCCGGCGGGCAGAGGCTCCGGAGCAGCCCCCGCCCCTCCGCCCGCCCACGCCCTGCCCGCGCCTCCGGGGAGGCGAGAGCGCGGCGGGGGCCGGTGACCCCCGGCTGGGGAGGGTCCGGTCCCATCTGTACCTGCCAGGAACCATCCGGGGAGGGGCGGGGGTCACAGCGGGGCCAGCGCGGCCCCGCGGCGGGGCAGCATCGCTTTCTCCCGCCGCCGTGAGAACCGGCACCGCACCCGGCATCAGCACCGACACCGCGAGTCCCGGCCGGGCGAGGAACGCGCTTTTTGGGTGGCTCTGGCACGGGACCGAGGGCAGAGAGCCCATCCCGGGGCTGGGGTCCCAGCAGCCGGTACTCCCGGAGCCGCCCCCGCCAGCCGGGCTCGGGCGAGGCCGCGGATCCATCTCGCCGTTAATAATTGATAGCGGGAGCCGCCTGGGCTGCGCGGGGCTGCGGGGCCGAGGCTTTTAGCTCAGCCCTGCTCAGATATTCAGCTCCATTTCCGCGGCAGGGCCGGGGCGGCTCCTTCTGGGAAGTGCTGCCGGGTGCTTTCCCGGCCGGATCCCTCCTTGGGGCTGAGCGAGGCTGGGCTGAGGCTGGACACTCTCATGAGCGCTATGAGAGCAGGGCAGCAGCGTTAGCTCCCCCCACCCTGTCAGGTGAATAGAGATCCCCCAAGAAAGGCAGGGGATCCCCAGGGCAGACAGGGGTCCCTGTTAGATCGGGCAGGGGTCTCCCAGGGCGGATAGGGGTCCCCAGAGGGTGGGCAGGGGTCCCCCATTAATCCTTCTCAGATGAGCAGGGGTCCCTATAGGGCAGCGGGGGCTGGGTGCTCATGGACTGATCTCCTGCCTAATGCACCGAGTACATCTGCAGAATCCAATTAACCTTCGATAACGAGGCCCTGAGCGACGTGGCTGTCAGCGGCCACCAGCCACCGGCACACTGTGGTCCCCCGACGTGCACCAGCCCACCAGGACGGGCAGCACTGTCACCTGCAGCCCCCAGGCCGGGCAGGCCCTCTCAACAGCCCCCAGCCGGTGTCGGACCCTGGGGAGGTGGAAATGGTACCGCTGTGCCCAACCGTGTGTCCTGTGGCTCCTGGGTACAGTGGAGCTGGAGCTGCCTGTCCTGCAGCCCAAGGGGTGGGGGCTGTTTTTGCCCCCCACTCCCACAGCATCCCCTCCTGTCTCCTGCTCCATCCCCCCCCCTCACTGCCCTCACCCCACTGAAAGCCTGGGGGTTCAGCTCCCACTCTGCCCAGATTGTGCACCCCCAGCCCTTCTGACCCTGCTCCCAGACCAGGGAGCTGGGGCCGGGGGAAGGTTTTGAGGGGGGTGGCCCGTGCTAGTCCGGGGCTGCAGCCTGGAGATGCCCGGGGGGAGCAGCCCCCCAGCAGCCGGGTGTTGGCGTCACCGTGCAGCCGCCCCCGCACCCATGTGGCACCCGGCTCCTCCCCGAGGACACCGCGCAGACGCCGAGGGCCACCGTGACGTCCGAGCGGGCGACTCGGCCGTCGGGTCCCCGGGAGCTCGCGGGGTCCATCGGCGGCCGCAGCGAACCCATCCCAGTCCCACACCGGCTCCCATCCCGGCTCCGTCCCGACCCCATCCCGGCCCCATCCATCCTCATCCCAGCCCTCCCGGCGTGTCAGCCGGGTCGGGGTGGGCACCGCGCCCACCGGCTGCTGCCGCCTCACCCCGCGCACCCCGTCCGGGTGCCGGCGCCCGCGGCGGGCGGGCGGCGGGGGGCACCGGGAGTGTTTCATGCGGTTAAGAAGTGTCTGATTGAGGCAGGAGGCGCCAGCAGCTCCCCCGGGAGCCGCAAGCCAAGGACTGGAGGACCAAATGCAGGCTAAAGTAATCCAATCTGGGCTGGTTCATCTAATTAGCCCAGAATTAACCCAGCAGCCAGAGAGGAGCTGACTGTCCCTCCAGTTTGCCAGCGGGTTTGGGGGGAAGCGGGAGGAAGAAGGGGACGTCCAGCGGTAATGAGATTACGGGGGGGAGCGGGCGGGAGCGGGTGCGTGGCAGCCTCTGGCCGGTGGGAACGAGGGGCCCTGACAGGTCCCCACCGCGCCATCGCCGTGATGGCCGGGGCACCGGGGCGGCCGCCGGCGGCACCGGGGACAGGCAAGGACCCGTCCCAGCGACCCCCGCCCCAGCAGCGGCGCCCGAGGCGTCCCCGTGTGGGACGGGGACACCGGCACGGTCGGCACCGGGGACGTGGCACCACGAAGCCCCGCAGCTGCACCGGCAGCCCCAGGGCCACGGTGGGGGACGGGACAAGGAGCTTCGGCAGCACCCCCGGGGTGGGGTGGGCAGGGGTCAGACCTCATGTGTGACCCCCTGCTCCCAGCACGGCTGTGCAGAGGGGCGTGGAGGGCGCTGGACGGGGAAATGCTGGTGGCGGTGGCAGGGCCTGGTGCTGCACTGGCTGATGGCTGATTCCCTCCTGGAACTGGGCAAATGCCCTTTTTTCTGCCGCATTCCCTCCAGCTGTCACCGCCACCCACGAGAACCGCCAGGCCCGGCCCCTTGGGGTGGGAGGGGGCACGCACCGAGGACACGGAGGTCCCTGCTGTGGCCGAGAAACGAGGGAGGGTCTGTACGGGCGAACTGGGAGGTCCCGGGTGCAGGGACCCTTCCTGGTCCCCACAGTGGCTCACGGGACCCTGGGGCAGGCACAGGGACATGGCTTCCTTCCAGGTGGCACAAGGATCACTGGAAACACAGAGCCAGCGGCACAAGGTGGTGACAGTGAGGGGCCAGCGGGGTCCCTGGGAGATAGACACCCTGCACCCACAACCAGGGTGGGAAGGGGCTTATGACTCCTTGAGCACCCTCAGTTCTTCCCTGCACCCTTCCAGGGCAGCCCTGGTCGTGGTGCTGGAGGATGCCGGGCAGGGGGGCTGCTCGGGCCGGGGCTGCCGCCTGCAGACCCCCCGTGGGCATGGGGCGGGCCCTGGCGCAAGCAGGCGCCGGGTGGGCCCGCATTGCCCCCGGCCCCGTCACAGCCCCCCAATCCATCTCCCAGCCCGGCAGATTCCAGCCCTTGGGCACGGCAACATCTGCCTCCTGCTCCGGGTTCAATTAACCTGCTGCCGCCTCCTCCTCCTCCGGCACCGGCCATTTCCTCCCACTGCCACTGTCACCGCTGTCACTGCCACTGCCGCCGCCATGGCTGCACCCCACGAGGTCACAGCGGGTCCCTTCGCCGCAGCAGACCCGAAGCCGGTGGCTCTTTCCAGGTGGAAAAGCCACAGTGGGAACACTGGGATTTGTCCCGGCACCTGCCGGGCTGCGAGCAGGAAACGCCAGAAAGCCATGGCGCCTGCAGGGCAGAGTCCCGGTGTTGTGTCCCCCTCCCCTTCTGGGCACACGAGGCTCCGTCCCGGTGTGGGGAAGGGCAGCTCGGCCGTTCCCACTGCCGTGGCGGGACGTGGGCACGGCCGAGGGTGGCACAGGAGCCCCAGACCCCGGCAGAGCTGCGGCTGCAGGGACGGGCACCCCACACTGCAGC